GAAAATTGGTCTGAATCAATATATGGGAGAGTTCTCAAACATACCTGGAAGCTACTAAAATGCAGATTCCCAGGCACAAACCCTGGTGCTTCTGATTAAGCGTTTCTAAAGCATGGCCCTAAGGAGCCCTGGTGGCACAACAGTTAAGCACTCAGCTGCTAACTGAAAGTTCAGTGGTTAGAACCTACCAGCGGCTCAGCTTGAGAAAAGATCTGGTAATCTGCTCTTGTAAAGATCGTTGTTGTTATTAGGTGCCGTCGAGTCGGTTCCAACTCACAGGGACCCTATGTACAACAGAACGAAACACTGCCCGGTCCTGTGCCATCCTCACAATCATTGTTACGCTTGAGCCTATTGTGGCAACCACTGTGTCAATCCATCTCATCGAGGGTCTTTCTCTTTTTCACTCACCCTCTACTTTACCAGGCATGATGTCCTTCTCCAGGGACTGGTCCCTCCTGATAACATGTCCAAAGTATGTGAGATGTAGTCTTGCCATCCTTGCCTCTAAGGAGCATTCTGGCTGTACTTCTTCCAGGACAGATTCGTTCGTTCTTTTCCTGGTCCACGGTGTATTCAATATAGGGCAGTTCTACTCTGCCCTATAGGGTCACTATGAGTCTGAATGACTCGACGGCAAGCAACAACAGAACATGGCCAGGAATGTGCATTTGTAAAGCAAGCTTGATGAAAACCTTGATTTATGCAAAACTGAACTGCAGAGACTTGCCACAGAGCCTGCCTCTAGAAATCCCTTCCAGGCCCTCACTCAGCCTGGAAGGTTCCGCCTGGGTCAGTTCCCTATGGCCAGAAAGACCCTAGGTGTCAAGTGCCATGAGTGACCAGACAGGCTGGGGGCTGAATGATGGCTTCACAGGAAAGGGAGGGTTGGGCTCAACTTCCCAGGCACAGTCCTGCCTCAGGGCCTTTGCACTTCCTTCTTCCTCTCTCTAGAATGTTCTTCCCCCAAGGACTTCCTTCACCTCCTTTAGATTTTTACTCAAATATCACCCTATCTAAAATTGTAAAACAAAACACACAGCAAAAAAAAAAAGCAAATATAAAAAACTCAATAGCGACAGCAAAACATAATAAAACATTCAATACTATATCCTTCTTTCTATCATCACTTATCATCACCTAAGATACTATTTATTTTATTTATTTATTGTCTGTCTCTTAGAATCTAAGCTTTATGAGGGCAGGGATTTAGTTTTCTGTTTTCTTCACTGCTGTATCCCCAGTACCTTGAACAGCACATACCTCAGCGCACCGTATCATTCCAGTTGCTGTGGAGTCTATTTTGTCTCATGGAGACCCCATGTATGTCAGAGTAGAACAGCTCCATAGGATTTTTAATGGCTTTTTTTCTCAGGTAAATCGCCAGACCTTTCTCCCAAGGCACCTCTGGGTGTGTTCAAACTGCCAACCCTTTGATTAATAGTCGAGTGCTCACGCATTTGTGTCACCCAGGGACTCCGTCACAGAGCAGGCCCTCAATAAAATTGTTGAAAGAATGAATAAATGACTGAATTAGCAAGAGAGGGCATTCCAGGCAGAGTGTGCAAAACCTAACCTGTCCTTCTGGGCCTTCAGGCTTGCAGCCCCCGACACCCTCCCACAGCCTGTCTCCTTGACTCCTGAGGGCTGCTGAGCTGGCCTGTCCTTACCCCAGGATGTCAGCTTCTCTAGCCAGCTGCCTAGCTGTTGTTGTTGTTAGGTGCCATTGAGTTGATTCAGACTCATAATGATCCTACAGGACGGAGTAGAACTGCCCCATAGGGTTTCCAAGGAGCGGCTGGTAGATTCCAACTGCCGACCTTTTGGTTAGCAGCTGAGCTCTTAACTACTGCACCACCAGGCTGTAGCTATCCAGCTACTCGGCTCTATAGCGGAGCCTGAGCACCCCTTCTCCACGCTGGTCTTTACTCAAGCTCTTGTCGTCCACATGAGTGCAAGACACAAACTTGGTCACTACCAGACAGTCATTAACGAAACCCAAGCCGGCCAAGAGCTGGAACAGCCCATGGCCCCACCAGACTTCAGAAATCAGATGTTACGGTTATTCGATCTCTCAGTAAAGAAATATTAAACTGAGAGCAAAGCTGATGCTCAGACCCACTGGGGTGGAGATTGCCAAGTCTTGACTGAACTTCTCCCACCCCAACCAAGGGTGCCACGGTTATCTCAGAGGGTGTGTAAACTTCTCGAAACCCAATTCCATGCGATCCATTTTAATTTCAAAAACAGAAAGTAAAACACCCCAACAACTTATGACTTACAGTATCATTTCCTGGGTCAGGTGAGAGAGTTATGCCTTGTGATTAAATGATGATGTATTAAAAATACTGCCCCTGGAGAAAAACAGAGGCTTCTGGATTACTCTGTTTTTATTGAGCTCTGGGTGGCTATGAAGACCGCATTGTGGCCTGGTTAAAATCTGAAGCCCTGGATTCTGAAGGGCCCAAGTTCAAATCCCAGCTCCATTGTTCCCAGCTGTTTTGGGTTGAATTGTGTCCTCCCAAAAGTTACACTGACGTTCTAACCCCTGTACCTGTAAATATGATCCTGTTTGAAAATTTGGAAAGGAATCCCCAGGTGGTGCAATTGATTAACATGCTGGGCTGCTGTTATGGATTGAATTGTATCCCCCAAAAACGTGTATCCACTTGCCTAGGCCATGATTCCCAGTGTTGTGTGGTTGTCCTCCATTTTGCGATCTGATGTAATTTTCCTATGCGTTGTAAATCCTAATCTCTGCCTACGGTTACTGAGGTAAGATTAGATTACGTTAAAAAGGATTAGGGTGGGATGCAACACCTACTCAGGTCACAGTCCTGATCCAATGTAAGGGGGAGTTTCCCTGGGCTGTGGCCTGCATCACCTTTTATCTTACAAGAGATAAAGGGAGAGAGAAGTGAGCAGAGAGAGAGGGACCTCCTACCATCAAGAAAGACTTGCCAGGAGCAGAGCTTCCTTTGGACCCGGCGTCCCTGTGCTAAGAAGCTCCTAGATCAGGGGAAGATTAACTTCAAGGATCTTCCCCCAGAACCTACGGGGGGAGAGAGAGAGAGAGAGAGAGAAACTTCCCCCAGAGCTGGCACCCTGAATTTGGACTTTTAGCCTCCTAAACTGTGAGAAAATAAATTTCTGTTTGTTAAAGGCTTCCACTTGTATTTCTGTTATAGCAGCACTAGATAACTAAGACAGCTGCTAACTGAAAGGTCAATGGTTCAAGTCCACCCAGAGGCACCTCAGAAAAAAGACCCGGTGATCTACTTCTGAAAAGTCAGCCACTGAAAACCCTATGGTGCACAGTTCTACTCTGACACACATAGGGTAGTCATGAGTTGGAATCAATTCAACTGGCAACTGGTCTGGAAATAGGATGGGTTTTTCGTTGTTGTTGTTGTGTTAATGAGGTCATACCAGAATAGGATGCTTCCTAAACCTAATCCCTTCTGAGTGGTGCCTTACAAAAAGACAGAATAGACACAGAAAGATACAACAGAGGGAGTCGAGGCAGATGAGTCTATAAGCCCAGGCATGCCAAGGATTTTCTGCAGCTACTAGAAGCTGAAAGAGACAAAGGAGGACCTCCCCTAGAGCCAACACCCTGAATTCAGACTTACAGCCTCCAGAACTGTGAGAAAATAAATTTCTGCTCTTTACAATTACCCACTTGTGGTGTTTTTTGTTATGGCAGTACTAGGTAATTAAGACACCAGCTGCCCTTGTAATAGCAAAACAAGTGATGTTTATTGAGAGCTTTCTTGCCAGGCACCGTTCTCAGTACCTCACCTGGGTCGTCTCATTTAATCCCCACAATAACCTGTGCAGCAGGTATGTGTGACGCACCCAGAACAGTGACCAGTGCAGAGAAGCACTCAGAAATGCCAGTGATGATAATTTCTATTAAATCACTCCCCATTTTCACAGGAAGATGAGGCTCAGAGACATGGAGGAATGTGCCCAAGGTCACACAGCTCGAAAATCTGGCAAGATTTGACTCTAGATGAAAGTGACAGGGAAGGTATTTCCCCCAGGGCCTACAGGTGACAGCTGCCACAACCACAGATGACCGTGTGGCACCTGTTTGCCGCCTGCTTTCCCTCATCTCTGAACAGGCTGGTCTCCTGCCCTGGAGGCCCCAACAGGCCCCAAATGTCTTTGTTACCTAGTGCTGCTGTTACAGCAATACCGCCAATAGGTGACTAATGAACAGAAATTTATTTTCTCACCGTTTAGGAGGCTAGAAGTCCACGTTTAGGGTTCAGGCTCTAGGGAAAGGTGCTCTCCCTGTCCACTCGGGAGAAGATAGTTGTCTCAGCTCCTGCAGCTCCAGCATTCCTTGTTCCTTGGCGATTTCCTCCTGGCATCTATCTTCCCCTCGATTTGCACTTACTTCTCTGTGGCTGAGTTGGAATTGATTCTACGGCAGTGGGTTTTCTGTGTGTCTAATCGGCTCCCTTTACATCTCAAAAGTGAGTAGGTTTAAGACACACCCTACGCTGATATGGGGTCATTAACACACCAAAGAAAACCCTATTCTCAAACGAGAATAAAAAAACCAAACGAAACCTATTGCCATCAAGTCAGTTCCGACTCATAGCGACCCTATGGGATAGAGTAGGACCGCCTCATAAGGTTCCCAAGGCTGTAATCTTTATAGAAGCAGACTGCCACATCTTTCTCCTGCGGAGAGGCTGGGGGGTTGGAACCACTGACTTTTTTGTTTAGCAGCTGAGCACTTAACCACTGAGCCACGAGGGTTCCTTATCCACAGGTATAGGGGTTTGGATTCCAACACATATTTTTGGGAGACCCAATTCAATTCATAACACCAAGACATGGAGAAAAGGAGAGAACAGGTTAAGAGGGGGCAGCTCTGACCTGCCACCCACCCCGCCCCCCCAGACACTGGGCACTGGGCTTCCTTCTGTAAAGTCTTGCTCCTTCCCAGCACCTTCCTGGGCTGCCCTTGGTGGAGGAGAGCCCACCTACTGTGCCTTCTCCCTGAAGATCTGCCCGTGAAGACCTGCCCGTGGTTTCGCCTGCTGCACTGCATTCTGGCACAAAATGAATGCTGGCCTCAGGCCCCAGCCCACCCACCAGGATGGCAGAAAGGCAGCCCCAGCCTCCACCGGGTGAGAGAGAGCCAGGGAAAGAGAACAAGTGAAAGAGAAAGAGCGAGCGAGCAGGAGAACAGGAAATGGCCACGTTGCTGAATAGGATGATGGATGACACAGCAAAGGGCCCACTAGAGACTCCACGACCCGTTACTAAGCTGACCATATAAGCTTAGGAAACCCAGGTTTTTATATACGCACTCACGCAGACTCACAAAAATAAATTCTAACCACAGAAAGAGCAACGGGTAACCGAGTCCTTTCGCGGCTGTCCTCACCCTTTTCCGCTGGCAAGAAAATGGTAAAAAAGAACCCAGGTTTTTCTCAAATAGACTCTGCCATGGCTTGTTTGGGGCATTTATTTGTCTTTCAAACAGTCTGCAAAGACAGTTCCCCTGGGTTTCTTGTGCTTTCCCATGGGAGTCTGTACCTTTCGTTTGAAAACTGTGGAAGTGCTGATCCCACTTTGACGGTCTGTTTTGTGTTTTATTGTGTCAGTGACTCACTTCCCTCCTCTGTAAAATGGGGGAATAACTGTACTGACTCTAAGAATTAAATGGGTTAATACCCGTAAAGCACTAGAACAGTGTCTGGTACAACACAAGTGCTCTGAGTGTTTGCCATTGTTATCACTAGTTGTTATTGTCTTCACTGTTTTTTGCTTGGATGATAATGGGTGGACAGTGCCAGGCTCAGCCAGATCACAAACACCCTGGGAAAGTTTTGATTTGCAGCAAGACTCAGCCTCACCCTAGAGCAAATCTGACCTTCTGAATAGTCCCCCATCAACTGGCCTGCTGCCCTGGGACGTCTCTGGATGCATACTGGCGACAGGCTGAGTCTCCTCTCTAAGGACCACCTAGAGGGCATTCCTGGGAGCCCAGCTGGTCTCTATTGGGTGGTCCCTGTTAAACACCATAAATTCTACTCCCAGGCAGGTGGGCAAACTGCCACTATTTTTTGCAAGTAACAATGAACCTTTATGAGTGTGGTTAACAATACCAGCTAATATAGCTAATATTTATTGAGACTTACTAGGTTTCAGCCAAAAGGTTAGCAATTCAAATCCACCAGCCGCTCCTTGGAAACGCTATGGGGCAGTTCTACTCTGTCCTACAGGGTGGCTATGAGTCAGAATCGACTCGATAGCAACAGGTTTTTTTTTTGTTTTTAACCAGAACCCATGTCAAGAAGCAGAACATCACCAGCACCCCTAGAAGTCTCCCTGTGCTCCTTTCTAGTCATTACCCACCCCCAGGGGTGACCACTATCCTAACTTCCAATGCCATAGATTAGTTTTGCTTGGTTTTGAACTTCATATAAATGGGATCGTACAGATTCCATTTCTGTCTGGATTCTTTCCCTCAAAATTGTGTTTGTGAGATTCAACCACGTTGTTGCACGTAGCTGTGGTTCATTCATTCTCATTGCTGTATTGTAGTCCATTGTGTTAGTTATCTGTGGCTCTGTAACAAATTATCACAAACTTCGTGCTTAACAACACACATTTATCACCTCACAGTTTCTGTGGGTCAGAACCTGGGCGTGGCCTAACTGGCTTAGGGTCTCCCACAAGGCTGTAGTCAAAGTATAGGCCAGGGCTGGGGTCTCATCTGAGGCCCAGCTGGGGAAGGATCCATTTCCAAACTCCTGTGGTTGTTGGCAGGATTCCATTCTTTGTGTGCTACTGGACGGAGTGCCTCAGCTCCTTGCTGGCCAGGGGCCGCCTCTGTTCCTTGCCATGTGGGCCTCTCCCCATGGTGGCTTACTTCGTCAAAGCCAGCAAGAGTCAATAGCGAGTCTCTTAGCAAGATGGAAGTTATAATCTGTTGACCTTGCTCATAACGCCAAACTGTCGAGCCAAGGTCTGGGGTCACCAAAAAAGACACGGATCACACACAGACATTGGATAGAACAACGCTTTAGGCACATAGAGAAGACACAGAGCAAGGTCGGCTTCAGTGGTGCGTGTGGGTCCCTCATGGCCAGCAGATGCAGGACTGGTGATCTGCTCACACACCCCTCTCATATTACTTTTGAAGGGCCCCATTCCCTCCCCACTGGGAACACATACAGTAGTGGGGTTGGCTAGGTGCCATATGACATGAATGCATAAGCAGAGCAAAGAGATACTCATTAAGCCTATCACAGGTAAAGAGGTCCACTGATAAGTAAGAAGAAAAAGAAACTGGGACAGAGGGAAGCTCGCTTCCCAGCCTCCATTATCAGGGAATGTTCTGGGCCCAAAGCTTCTGATTAGGAGTCTCAGGCAAGAGTCACAAGGGCCATGGCAGACTGTCCCCCACAACACAATCTTATGTAATTTAATCAGTTACCTTTGCTGAATTCTATTAGTCAGAAGCAAGTTACATGTCCCACCTACAGTTAAAGGGAGAGGATTACATAGGGCTGTAAACAAAAGGATAATTGGGGCTATTGTATATGTTTTTTGGTATGCATATGCACACATTTCTGTTGGGAACATACCTAGGAGTAGAATCCTTAGGTCTTAAAGTCCATGCATATGTTCAGCTTTAGAAGATTCTGGCAAACATTTTTCCAAAGTGGTAGTACCAACCTACACTCTTCTAGCAGCATATCAATGCTCCAGTCAGAGCACCTTGCTTTTAAATATTGTTCTCCACTCTGTCCTTACAGAGAGTTTTTTTAACCTGGTCGATTTAACAGAATTGGAGGCAGTGGTGGTTGCACGAAGGAGACCCAGGTTTGCATCCTGACCAATGCACCTCATCCACAGCTGCCACCTGTCAGTGGAGGCTTTCGTGTTGCTATAATGCTGAACAGGTTTCAGCAGAGCTTCCAGACTAGGACAGACTAGGGAGAAAGTCCTGGAGATCTACTTCTGAAATCAGCCCGTGAAAACCCTATGGATCACAACAGTCCTATCTGCAACCCATCATAGGGATGGTGCAGGACCAGGCAGTGTTTTGCTCTGTTGTGCATGGAGTCATCATTAGTTGGGGCTGACTTGACAGCAGCTGAGAACAATACCAGAATCACCTGGGGTACTTGTTAAAAATGCACATTCCTGGGCCACACCACTAGACTTTCTGATGGCTTCAGGGCTAGAATGTAAACTAGACCACACATTCCTTGGGTGAGGACCCTTGTTTCTTTCATCGAAGGATCTCTGGTGCCTAGAACAGTGCCTGGCATATAGTCAGCACTCAATAATATATTTTTTTCTTTTTTGGTTAAATGAATGAGTTTAAGAACTATTATTCTACAGATGGGCCTCAGGAAGGGTGTGAACCCCTGAAATTGGGAGGAACCTTTAGGATGTCAGAGCCCGGGTGTATTTTTCTGGGAAGAGGGCCCAGAGTTTAACCAGATCGCCACTCCCACCCCCCAAAATGGTTCAGAACCTCTGTTATTAGATATGTTCTGGCTTAGTTGTTTTATTACATAAAGAAAATGGTTCCTCAGAAATTTAAACATAGAACTACCTTATGACCGAGCAATCTCAATCCTAGGTACATACCCAAAAGACTTGAAAGCAGGGACTCCAACATATACTTGTACATCAATGTTCACTGCAGCATTATTCACAATAGCCAAAAGGTGGAAACAGCCTAAATGTTCATCAACAGATGAATGGATAAACAAATGTGTTACATACATACAGTGGAATAGTATTCAGCCAGAAAGAGAAATGGAGTCCTGATGCATGCTACAACATGGTGAACCTTGAAAATATGATGCTGAGTGAAATCAACCCATTGCCGTTGAGTTGATTCCAACTCATAGTGACTCAATAGTACAGAGTAGAATTGTCCCATAGTGTTTCCAAGGAGCACCTACTGGATTCAAACTGCTGACCTTTTGGTCAGCAGCTGTAGCTCTTAACCACTACGCCACCAGGGCTTCCTTAGTGAAATAAATCAGTCACAAAAGGACAAATATTGTACGATCTGACATATATGAAATCTCTAGAATAGGCAAATGTATGCAGATCAGTTTATTAGTGATACCAGGGGCTAGGGGGAGGGAGAAAGGAGGAATCATTCTTAAGGGGCACTGAGTTCCTGTTAAGGGTGATAGAAAAATCTGGAAACAGATAGTGATGGTTACACAACATGGTGAACGGAATTAACGTCACTGAGGTGCACAAGTAAAAACGACTGAAGTGGCAAATGTTTTATTATACACATATTACCACAATAAAAAAAAAAAAAAATTAGTCCTGGGGAAGGAGGCCTAGGAACTGTGTACAAAGCTCCATAGTGCTTGATGGCATTTAGGAAGTGGGAAGAGAGACAGTGGCTGCCTGGGATAGCTGATAAGCTGATACACTTGCTCACTTTGACCTCTGGCCTTTGACCTCTTTGGGCATATGTAACCACTGCCTGCCTTCTGGGGCCCTCCCCTCTGCCTGTTTGTTGAACAGCCAATTCCAGAAGGCTTCAGTGGCCCTGAGTTTCCACCAGTGGCAAGCCAACATGAGCACCACCTTTGGAGGAAGCCTCTTTCAATCGTCAGAAAGGCTCCCTGTTTATCTAGCTTGAGGTGACCTCATCCTTTGCCACCTTCTCCCACGTTCTCTGAAGGTTTGCAGCGTCTTGCTGCTGCTGTCTGCATTTTTTGCTCCTTTGAACAGGGCTCCTCATTGAGCATGTTTTTGTTTTGGATCATTCCCGTCACTTGCTTTTTATCTCCCCCTCTAAGGCAGATCAACCCTGCGCCTCTCTAGACATTCCTTCTCAGGTTTCCTCTGAATCATCTCATTTGGCTGAAATATTTCCCTTTCTCCCTCCTTCCTCACTACACTCAACATAGACCTCTTCTTTTCCGCAGAACAAGTGTTCTTTTCTTTCAGATCCCTCACCCAAATCCTCATCTTTCACCATGCTCTCTGACCTCGCCTGAGAACTGTTTTTTGAAACTTAAGTCACAAAAAGCATCTCCTGTAATCTGGGTCTGAATTAGGATCACTGACAAGAAGCAAGGGAGACAGGAATGTTCCTGGGTAACTGAGATCCTCATCAGAGGGGCCTGG